CTTTAAAACTTATTATGAAAAGTATTTCTTATACTCTTGCAGAACTCGTTATGAACTGTACGTAACCATGTATTAATACTACAGAAAAAAGAACTTTTACTTGACTTTTGTATTAGGTGCACCGTATATGCACTAAATAAGTTCTATTTATGTGTTCGTACTCTCTTTGTAATGGGTATTCTATCCAAATGCTGTATATCAGACTACAATAGCAATTTCTACTGAGCATGTTAAAAGACTACATTAAGTAGTGAGACTTGTGAAAGTTGTCCAGTTCGTGTTCTCATTGTTGTGTACTTAAATTTAAAGGGCATGCCGATATGTAGGAACTCGTGTTGTCTAGAGAATCAGAAAAATCTCTACAGAAACATATTGCAAACTGAGTAGCTTTTTTGGATATTTTTGTCAATATTAGATTATTTGATTGCCTCGAATATTTTGTGCCTGTTTATTACTGTTTCTAACCTTTAGTTTTTTTCTTATGAAATCTCACGGATATTTTGATCCACTGTAATGGAATTCAATGAAAAAATATATTTCGAGACCATGATGAATTTCAGCAATGCTCACTTTTATTTTTCAATTGAATAAAAACCAAATATATATGCAGCTTGCTAAAACTGTTAGGTTTCTACTGCGTCTTTGTTTATTAAGGTAACCGTAACACTGAAAACTATTATTTGATTAAGAAGAAACTTCTAGCATGGCACGAAATTATACGAAGCGACATTGTCGATTGCGAGACACCAAAACATCTGCAACGACTACTCGATTGCACTTTTCTATGGACTTCACAGATGTTTCCGATCATGTGAAAAAGCACTGTTGCTGTCGTAGCATGATCCAAACTGCGTGTTCTCATACGAATCCTCGCTTTGTTAGATAAATAGATAGATATGCCAGAGAGGTATCAGCACGTACAGGAATGCATGAAATTCGATCATTTACGATTATTTTGGTTTGTCATCTTGATATTTCTCTAACTCAGAGTAAATTGGCTTATCCAATCAACAGAGAATTATTAAATGTTGGTACGAGACGTGATCGAACTTATCTAGGATCTACTCGTTTCAATAATGCCCATCGCATATTTTCTGACGTAAGCTTTGCTTTTTCGTAGACGAATGTCACAACATATTTAGTTAAACTACTGAGAGATATTAAATAATAACTCAGTTTAGTTAAAGATATTTAGCCATGGTTAAGATTATATCGTTAAGTTTCATCCAGTTGAAAATGGGTAAAATATGGAACTAATACTAATAATGTATTCCTTCATATACAATCATACACCAACTAAAATGCTGAGATTTTTCTTTGCGGTTTCTATCTATCGACTAATTAGTTATGCTATATTTATAATTGTTTCGATAGTAAGATGCAGAGAGAATGTAGGTGATGGTGTAGCTGTAGTTGATGAGAAGATCAACACATACATCTTTCCTAAAAGTCACCTTATATTGTCTGGTCAACTTTCGTTTTCATAAGCTGCTTGGCTTTCTATTCTTGACTATGTGGCCATGGACGTTCGATCACAATAGTTATGTAAATATAACTGATAAGACAGTAGTTTTAAAATATTTTCACATTCATTCTATTGCCTAAGTCAAATTCGAAAGAGCTCTTCGCATTATAATGAACTCATTATACTTTTTATTTAGTGATTTATTGGTCGAAGAATATTTACTCGGATTCGGCTATTAACGTTATACAGAGACTTTTCGATAATCAAGGAGTATTTACCGTTTGGGAAAAGACAAATATATTATCTGGATATTATGTCGTTCATTATTTTAGTCCAAGTCACACATTCCATGTATCAGAAAAGTGCATTGATAGTACAATAAATAACGAAATAGCCTTTGCGCAAGATAAAGTTATACACAGCTTCGATAGTATTCAAACAAATTTTCGAATAGAATTGAATCAATTTATCAATGATAAAAAACATCAACAACAGCAATTGCAAAACTTTGCAATTATTTATTGTGAATATCCATTACAAACAGAATTGAAGATTAGTTTCTTTGGACAGAAAAGTACGGTAAACAATGCAAGCAAACAATTGTTGCGTCTCTTACACAAACACGAGATGAAAACGATCAACATCGAACTTGATTCTACACAAGTAAGAATATTATGTACTTATGTCCTAACATTTTGTACAGAGGTTATCATCGATTTTCGATTAAGCAATAATAACAGTGACGAATCTCGGATTTGGATGGTGTGTGAGTGTGGGATATGGGTCTCTTCTTTGTTCACACCCACCCACATTCATAGATTGCCATATATTTCTCAAACAGTTAAACACATGAGCATTTCAGGAAGAAAAAATAAAGTTAGTCCCTCATCAAGTACTGCGGAGGCTCTACAATGCAGATTTAAAGTCATACAACGAATGAACTTAGATAGAAACAGTGTATTAAGGTTTCCATTAAGATGGAAATAACTCTGCAGGAACCCGGTGAGATTTACTAACTTAACTTACACCACTATCATCTACAACAACCGGACAAAAATATTCTTCAACAGTTTTCCTTGTTTATTGTCTATTCAAATTGTTTTTTTGTTTCTTCTATAGTATCAAAACTAAGTTGTTGATATACTGATTACTTCTCTTATTCTAGCGTCAATATCTATTGGACAATTGTGTTCATCAATTGAAAAATATTGAATTGGAATATAAAGATGACAATGTGAAAATCCAAATACGTGAAAATCTGTTTCATGCACCACAATATTTGGCATCAAAAATCAAACAATTGATTAATGCTTTGGTTTTTCAAACGGCAACCATTATTTTTCAATGTATTGCGAATGCTGGTAAAATGATAACAAACGAACATTTGGAAATAGAACAAATTGCTCGAAAATATAATTGTCAAATTGATAGAATCGGCGTTCAAACCAAAAACGAAATTGTCAAACTGCCTAAAGCTAGAACAACATCTACAATAAAGTCAACGTCAACATTCATTATTCAAGAATCAAATCGATTCATTGATGCACTACCGATGTTGAAGAGATTATCCACATCAACTGGTGGAATAGAAATTCTAAAAACAAAAGATTTAACAACACCACTGGTCAGTTCTTTCTAAAACTATTTTGTTTTTTATCTGTAATCCTTGTTATTCTAGGTAGATATTACTATCATTTCAACAGTTAAGGATGCTGTTAAAGAACAAATAGAACCGAATTGTAGCAATTTTTATTTTGAAACAGATGCTGGTAGAAAAGTTCTATTTATTCCATGGGCACCTCCTTCAATAAAACTTGATAACGATCAGACAGAAACCATTCTTGAAGAGTCGATAAAAGAATATATTTCAATTTTCGTAACACAGATTGCAACTTTATGCACGACCGATATCAAAAGAATTGCAATTTCTACAACTGAATGGGAAAATTATTCGAACAGAAAACAATTGGTCGAAAAGTTCATTCACGCATTGAAATTTCAACTTGAAACAGATGAATTTTTCAATCGTGATTGGATAATTTTATTTCTTTTCAATGAAAACCAATCTGACATGTATGATCTATTTATGCAAACCATTCTATCACTACAAGTTGAAACGAATGACTATGAACAATTCTATTGGCCAATATCAAGTATGCACTCAGTGTGTAAATACCTATCAGAAATTGATTTATCTCACATTATTGGCAATATTGAGTATTGAATTACGTAGAGAAAGCTGAGTTTCTAAACAATAGAATAATTCTCTGGGTCAATATAACATATTGGTAAGATGTTGCCTATAAAAGAAACTTGGTGTAGTCCACATGATACAGTGTATATAAGCTCATTTAGTAACATATATGATTTTTACATTACTATATGTTAGTCTATATGAATATCTTATGCCTAAGCTTCGATGATATCTTATTTACAAAATTTCACAAGCTAGTTCAGACTCGAATAAAATGTAAAGTAAATTCTCATTTTTTATCCAATTGTGGTCGCAATCTATGAGATGATCATAACCAAAGTTTTAGTTGCTTAAAAATCTATTTCTTCTTAGTATAGTCTTGTTAATATTTCTAACAGTTGCTTTTATTGACATTCGTTTTAGCAATTACAATAGATTTAAAAACATCACGAAATTATAATATTGCTAAATGCCAAAATGCGATCAATGACTATGTTCGAAAACGTATACTTACAACTGCCACGCTCGTTGATGCATTTGATTCAGAAATCTGGAATCAGCATATGATCAATGTCTACTATAAGTATTGTATCGAAAAATTCGTCTTCCCAAAGATTAGTTCAATCAGCGAACAAAACGCACGACAACAACAGCGATTAGATTTGATTGGTCCAGCATCTTTTGTTAATGAAATGAAACAGAGACATGATTTAATGTCCGAAATTATCAAACAAAAAACTGTAGTATCAATGCGGACGGATGAAAAAATAGAAATAGCGACGTTTCATCAATACCCACAATTAACATTAGATGATGTATCGAAAGCGTACAACATTTTAATATTAAGTTGTCTCGAAGATGAGATTTTGTCAAATCGTCTTGCTGCTCGTTTAATTGATGAAGGCTATTTAGTTCATGTCAATCATTCTGATCAATTATCTTCAACTGTCGAATCACAATTTGAAAAAACAGATCTAGTTCTCGTCTATTTTAGTCGAAACTATTTGCAAAATGAGGATTGTTTGGCACAAATCAAACAAGCAAAGATATCTGAAAAGAAAATCATATCGATTTTATCAACACGAAAGCCGATAGAACAAGACAACAATTGGCTCGACTCTGTTACTACAACAGACTTATATTACGAATTATTTAAAGAGGAGTCCCATTTCAAATTGGATGAAGATTTCGATCTAGAATACGACAAATTATTAGTCGAGCTGGTAAGGGCCTAAGGATCAATCAACATTTCACTTATTTAATATTAAGGTCTATCATAACAGTTAAATTTCTAAAAAAATGCTCATAGTTATTCGAATAATATACTAGGCATTTTTAATATAAATTGAGTAATTTAGAATGATGCATTTGAAAACTCAAAGAACTGTTGATTTACAGTTTCAACTGCTTGAAAAAATACCTTAGAGTATATCGATCTATGTTAGAAGCAATCACCTAATCAGTAATCAATGCTTTAGTTTTTCGTAGTTCACTTTGAATACAAATGTAAATATTTTGTAAGAAAGATCGATGTATTTTAAAGCGAAGGCAGGCTGTGTAGTCGAATTCGAAACTGTTTTGTGTTAAACAATTACTTGCGAAAGTATTGAGTGAAGCTTTCTTCCCGATTCGACCTATCTTTTAGTCATATTCAGCATGCATAAAGCACTGCATTTTTTTCGGGTATGGATCCAACTAGGCACTAAAAAATGTAACTTAAAAGAAAGTAGAAAAGTAAATCAATAAATTACTTCAAAGAAAAAAAAGCAACACTTTGTGATATCCATCCACCAATTCCCTCATAAGTAATGAATTTAAGATAAAAAATTTTCATCATATAAAAACAGTTGTCTTTGAGGATTCTGTAAACCAATGCATCATACGATCTATTGTTTATATTAATAAAGAGTGCAATTTTTTTTTCTTGAAAAACTGAGCAACGATGATAATTGTCGAGCTTGAATTTTCATCACTACGGAGAACAACATCAGCGGGAGTATGACACATGTCAAATGCAATTGGTCAAATACTAGTCTATCGAACTGTTTAAAGCATATTTTGAGAATTCTTTATGAAGCTCAATTTATTGCTACTCACAGTAGATCTCGTTAATTGTTTTAATCCACGAGCCCAGAATGACTTTTCACAGAGACTCTCTGTAGACTGTTTGATCTTGAATTAAGCCAATATCGACCATACTGGTCCATATAATAATGATTTTAACTCATTGCAAAGCTATCTGAAGTTATCGTATCTAGTTTTCGAAATATCTCTCTATATAGACATCAGACAATATGGAAATTCGAAGAACCCTAATGCGACAACTTCAGTTACTTTTGATATAGGTATAACTAATATCATTAGCTGTAAGCAATGAACTTTGGCTTGATACAAGATCAATTAATCTAAAGAGCGGATTGTGAAAAATCCTATAACAGTAAAGAATAAAAATCGTTCTGAGATTTGCAAAGAAATTCGGATTTTTTAAAAAATTTTCGAACAAAAAAAGATTCCGTACAATACTGTTTTTCTTTCAGTTCGAAAAAGATTTCGTATTCGAAGTTGCATCCAACGTACGATATACGATCACTCAGCTCATATACATTGTTTCGGCATTTGTTTCTATCCAGCTATAACTATATCTATTTCAATACGAGTCTATTTAAACCCTATACCTTATTCCTATATATTATCTTTTAAATGTATATTTAATCCGTTATTTTAATGAGAAACTCATATGACTTCTGTAAACTAACATAAACGTGAGGAAAGCTAAGTGACATTGGAAGGAATGCGTCAATAATGTAAATCTGTTTCCTTAACAATCTTTCTACCATACGAGAAAAGAGTTGAAAATTTGTTTTGTCAATGAATTCAAGCAACAAATATGGTAAAAATATAGAAAACCTAAAACTAGAGCGATTGTTGACATGAAATAGCAAGAGAGGTGTTATGAAAGTAAATTCTATGTTTCTTTCAGCAAAATATGAAGATATCAAAGAGTCAGGATATATACTTTGGTTGCAATATCATTGATGGGTTCTCTATTGCTGTCAGAGGTGCCCCCTCTTGGAAAAGTATGAAATATAAACACAGGTTCTATCTCTGTATTTCTGAAAGTAAAGATCTAAAATTTCGCATAAATCCGTCGTGCTAGTTCCACATCAGTTTTGTGGATGTATGATAGATAGGTAAAGGTAAGAGTGCTTGAGATTTGAATAAGTGTTTGATTGGTGAACAATTGTCTCAATTATACATGAGGCGAGGAAGGAAAGCATTTTAGTACAACACCTGATAAACACATACTAAGAAACATTACCTGTCATGAAACTTAGAAAGATTATATATGAAACCTATGAAATTACAAAACTTTAAGATAGGTTTCGCAAATTTGTACGATACTATAGAAGCATAATAAAATGCCAACAAATGTCATAGGATTTCTTTTGACACTTTTTTACTTTCCAGTGTAGCTCTTGAATGAAACAAATTTGACGAAGCCGACAGAACAAAACTAAGTCGATATTAAAATATTGATTATTTGCTTTCAATAAGACATGATTTGTTTTTTGTTTTGTTTCATTCAATAACTATGAACTTCAGTTGCTGAGAGATTGAGATTCGGACTAATTGCTAGTGGGGTTTATTATGGTTCTTAGTAATAATAGCTTTTATCTTTTTAGCTTCATTACACAAAACCTGGTATTGTTGGTCGAACTTATCCAATGGTACCGACCGATTCAAACAAAGAAAAACAACCGGAAGAGGTACCATATCAACAAGACTTGCAACCGAAAATGACGGTAGAACAAAGACGTCAACGAGAAGAAATCTATGAAAAAGATATCGAAAAGATTAGAGATCGAGATAAGATCTCCACTGATGAAGTAGAAAAACTAATGGAATGTTTAACGTTAGTTATCGAAGATTGCAAAACTTATAATCTACTTGGAATTGACGACGTGCAAGAAGTGGGAGAACAATCTAACGAAACAACTAAGCGTGAAGAAAACAAAATAGTCATTGGAACAGAAGTAATCAATGCAGATGAAGAAGCACATCAACACGGATTTGGGCAAGAAGGCATTCATACAAGTGAGCATCAGACACGCAAATATTCATCAAATTCATACCAACGGCGAAAAGAAATTTACGCAAGAGGTAAGCTATTGAAAATGAGAAGATACAAGAGGAATGCAGTTGATCCCATAACTACGTAATTTCATTCACTTCAAGTGAGTACATTGACATAATGGACTTCATTGAAATCAATGGATCTAATGGAGTTAAGAAAGTCAGCTGTTTCTTTCTTCCGATCGGGGCAAAATTCTGAAGAGCTAAATTGTGTATCTTGTACGCGCTCCGATTGGACCAAAATGATATGGGATGTGGGTATGAAGGGAAAGTAAAACAATACTCACTCCTAAATCCATATTCACAACCGTCACAACTTCAATCATTGTATTTATTCACATTAGGCTCGTACAAAAAGGACCAATTCTCTAGGTAGAAGTATGAAAGTTAAAATAAAACAATATCAGATGTTTATATTTACAGGATAATTAAATAGAATTACTTTAGATAATTTGATCAGTTAAGTATTTAACACTAAAAAATTTGTATTCCTAAGGAGAAACTGATTTGATTTTGAGATCTATTAGAATTAGTCGTTATATGCACTTTTCATTTTTTTTAGAACAAGCAGCAAGAACTCAACGTAATTTAAACAATCTTTGTTTGTGCATTAAACGTTGGATGCACAAAGCATCAAATGGAAGTATAATAAGAGGTAACATACGGCCATTTACTGTCACGGGCGATTTCAATGATGCTCCATATCCAATATTGTTGTCAAATAAAAATCCATGGTGGACAGCAAGTGCAATCTATTCAGATTTCGTTCATTCACCACCAGAAATTTATTTTCGTTATCCACCATTAATTATGGGTTCGTGGTTTAGTTATAACGAAGCGCGTCATTATTATCAGACCTTGATTGATAGAGACATTATTTTTCGAAACAAGAGACAAAAACAGCGTCGCATGATAGAAAAACTACAGCAAAATAGCAAACAAACCACATTGAACAAGTCGGATAGTAAGTTTCGCACAAAATTTTCAGAAGTAGTACATAATGCGGAGTTTACAACTGAACTGAAAGAAGGTCAAGTTGCCTGGGATATCACTGAAGATATTATGATATTGAAGGAATACGAAAAAAGACGAACGAGAAACAAAATGAAAAAATCGCACGAAAATCTCACTGCTTGGGAGCGTCTAATCGAAAGATCGGTACAATTGTTATCGGATATGAAAGAAAGTAGAATTGATTTACATTCAAACATTCTACAAGGCAAAATTGGTAATGAATTGAAAACAGAAGAAGAAATGAGAAAACTTCATGAATTAGACGATCCGAATAATAAACGTTGGACAATCAAGCGACCACGTCAATGTACACGTGAATTTCTTCAAGCCAAAATACAAAACACAATTGAGTTACAAACTTTGTGCGAAACTTCAACAAATATGTAAAGTAAAAACGAACATTTTTCATCGAAAACGGACATCTTATGAAACAAGAGTAAATAAATGACCCATCAAGAAAGCTCATTTACTCAGTTCCATTAAAACTCTCGATAAGATTGTCATAAATGCATTGCATATAGTGATATAGTCAAGAGTAGAGGTACGAAAGAAATGAAAATAGTGGGTATCCAACTGAATGCTTATTTACTTTTCTTTTTTATACGGGAAATAGGAATAGGGAGGATGGTTGTGGAATATAAGTACTTACAGAGAAGGCATTAGTTTTTGATAGAATACTTTACCTCATGTATAGATACATCCGACAGTACTTTCGGAATTTGGTTAGATTTGAGCTCGATTCTGGAATAGGATTTCTTCAACTATTGACTCTATGAAACAACTCAGTCAACAAACATTGGTTTATAAAAACCTGAAGTTGAGTAGGAATAACTGTGAGTCAAATGACTTTCTCGAAAAATTTTGCTAGAGAAAAAGAATCAAGAAAAATTTTGATTGAACAATGATCCATTTACTCCTTCGTTGGATTCAGCAACCATCTTATCTACGAAGGAGTTGAGTAGATTTATCTTTAGAATAAAAAATGCCTAAAATTGCCAATGTGAGGGATGCATTGTCAAAATACTTATGACAACATAGAATGTTCAGAATGTAAACAATCTATATCTAGATGATAAAATATGCGAAAATTCTACAAATTAATCTTGTAGAAGACATGGTATACATTTTTCCTTTACTCTAAATTCGAAAATTAGATTTGGTTCTTCGATTCTGATTCAATAAAAATTTATATTTCGTCTTGCATTGTCTAGAATCAGTAGCCTTCTAACCGATATAAAATATTAGTGTTGTTATTACTAGCGCTCATTGGCCGTTCATATGAACGTAAGTGAGATGTGTTAACTGACTAGGATCTCGAGCACTCAGATTTCTATGCTGTTGTCTGAGCGACACATCAGATGCTCTTTTGCTTCTCTCTCACCCGACCAAACTTCTTACAATAAGTATTAGCCCGTAAAAAATGGCGAAACATTCAACTAGTGAAGATCGAAACGTTGAAAATTTAGATTGGACGAGTAAAAATGGAAAGAACACTTTTCTTAGTCACATCAAATTATTCAACATTTTTATTTTCTAAGCTAAGAAAATTGTTAGCTATCAAATTTGTGAAATTTCCGAAAATTTCCTTCTTCTTTAGAAATCTGTTCATTGGTATTCTAACAATTAAAAAAGAACATCAACTTTGCAGAAGAAGAGGAAAAAAACTATGAAAGAGAGGAAATGAATTGGCAAAAACTTCACTTTTAAGCTGAGTAGACATTTTAAATACTCAGTTCTATTTTTGTTTCCTATGGATTGTATTTAACGAAAAGAAATAAGAATTCAATGTAACAGAACTCTATTCAAAGCATGATTAAGTTGGTATGGCTAAACCGTTGGTAGCAATAATTATATTAAAATTATAATTATGATAGATAGTTTTTAACTACACTTGATAGTTACGATTTTAGTTAATAGCCAGAATTTGAGTTATAGCAATTGAAATCTTTGACCAGTTTTTATCAGTTATTAACTTTCGAAAAAAATATTAACCGCATCAGTGTCGTGAGTTCAACAAACTTAACCAATATACGTAATCCGAAGCTTGTTTCCATTGGATGACGTATCTCAGTCGATAAGATCGCTACTTTTCTCCAAAAGTCAGTTATTCTAAATAGTTTCAGTTTCGTACGGTTGTCGTCCACTGCGTGTACTGAATAACCCATTATACATGCACTGAGTATGAATATTCTTAGCTTTTAATAATATTTACATGCGTGTCAAATTTTTGATAGTATTAGATATATAGTAGATGAACGTAAAGCTTCCAAATGATACTGTTTCGATCTTATACTTTAGATTTGAAAATTTTTCTTTTATCCAAATAAATGGATTCATTATTGCAGAGCTCTGTAGCCATTGCCCGACAGTTATGTAAAACTTATACGAATGTAACAGCCACTAATATGAAGGAATTGCTCGATGAGATTGTCACATTTTTAAATAACACAGACAACCAAACGGATGGCTTACATGTTCTTACCACCGTTTGTAATGAGTTGGCATCAATTCATGCATTAAAATTATTCGATGATGTACATATTATGAAACATACATTTTTTATTATTCTTGGGCGTACATTTGAAATGTTACTTACGAAAGCAGCATTCATTCCTTTGACGAAACAAGACGAACAATGTTTCTATGAAACGAGTAATCTGATCGTCAATTTGTGCTTGTACAGAAATGAATCATTATCATGTTTCTATACTCGTAATAATAACGATTTGAGTTCAATTTATGAGACACCAATCGAAAACATATCGTACGAGAAACTATTTTTGACAAAATCATTTTTTGATAAACTCACTCGAATCATAGCCAATGATTTAGCTATTAATGACTATGAACCATATCATGTAAAATACAAAGTTATTGGCCATCTACTTTACCTCTGTACAGAATTAAATAATATTAATCAAAGTGTACTACTTGATCCTGTCGTTCAATGTTTACGCTCACATTTTTATCTCAATGCGTACGAAACGATTGATCTTCGACAACCAATTGTCAACCCGAAGCAATGGTTTTTCATTCATCAATGTCCACAATTTATCCGTCTTCATAGTTACCAACGGCACGATGAAATATCGAATGCACTATGTGAATTAATGTTGGAATATAGTAACAAAATTTTTGAACAACATTTACCAATATTATTAGAAGGTGAAACTATAGCAAGTCGAGTGAATCGTACTGGAAACATTATCAAGAATGATCAAGGTGCAAAGGTACAGGCAATCGGTTGGCATATTGCATTATTGAATCATTTTGCTTTAACACCAACAGCAAAAATACATTTTATTACAGGTATGTAATAAAAAGCATTATATGAATGGTTTTATTTTTTCGATCTATACTGATTAAAATGTTCGATTATTATCGAAAGTTAGGTGAAAAGAATATGTCCGATCTCTTATATTCGAGTTTGGATTGCCGTCTGTGAAATATTTGCATAGCTTTGCCGATGAGAATAATAATAATGACAATTCAATATAAACACGTGCTTATTGTACATGCTGAAAGCTCAACAACATATCTACAACCGTTCTTCTAGTTGTATCTCACTCATTGATGAACTTGATTGTTTGACAGAAGAAAGAATGTAGATGGACGTTTTTCAAACAGAGACCAGAATGTCAACTAGGAAAAAAAGGCATTAAGGAAGATTTCTCTAGTTTGTTTCAGATAATTTTTATACTGACAGAAAAAGGTTTCTTACCTTAGGGACATTCACGATGGGATAGGTGAGGTGTTCTAGAATTGTTTCTCGAAAACGCCTCAGAGTAGAGTAGGAGAAAACACTCTGTGCAAAATGGTTCTTATGATAATGAATTGCCTCAGAAATTTTGATTTGCATCTGTTTTTTATGACATCGGTTGCATTCATATTTCTGGAATTCAAAAAAAATCTCATAATATTTTTGAGCTCGGTAAAACTTGTATGAAGCTTTTGCATATAAAATGATTCGATTCTTATATAAACCTGTGACATTCTTATGAACTTTCTTGAGCCGTGTGAGATAATTAGAGACATTTACTAGACTTTTGAAGATTCTCAGAAACATAATTGTTGCTCATCAAAGAATCTCTCTTAGATTGTAGAGAATCTTTTTCAAATGCCAGCAAGCCACTTGCATCTTCTGGGATTTTTAAGATGCTTATCAAGAGTAACATGAGCAGAATATATCCAAAGATGGGCTTAGTAAATATCTACAACGTCAAAACTCTATCGCGCAAAATAGATACAAAAAGCAAAGATCATTACAGAGCAGTACTTTACCTTTTCTAGTAGGACAACATCAGTCGAGTATGACGTTGAAAATTTCTGTAGATACTTTATTCTGGTCATTAGGCTAACCGCATAGTCGACTTGGTTGGAATCCGTACAAATGCTATTATTGTGATTGACTAATGTTCAGTTGTTTATAAGAGATATAATGTTTTCTGTTTTAGATGTTCATCAACCAATAATTGATCAAATGATTAGCATATTACGTACAGAATCACTAGTCGCAAGTGTTTATAAAAAATATGAATTCTTCCATGCTGATGTTGATCTTATATCATGGACAATAACACTATTGTATAATTTGACGTTCGAAGAGAAAATTTTTCTTCTACTGAAAGAGAAAAAATTAGGAGAAACTTGTGCAGTTTTGCACAACGCAGAAAATAGAACAATACAATTTGCATCACAAACGCTGTCTGTAATATTAAATCAAGAGAATATTGACGAAATCAGTAATCCATTGAATATGGCACAAAATTATCTATTCTATATAGAAAATACAATAAATGAACAATCGCTTACCTATCATGGAATAAAATTAGATGGTGTCTTGGCCAACCTTGAAGGTATGAGTTTGCTATAAATACCACTTCACTTAAAAAGATAAATTTCATGCGAATTGAAAGTAGATTGTTAAGATGGAGCTATTTTCAATGATTAGTTATTGAATTCTAGCGTGAGAAAATGAAAACCTTTTAAGAATTGTTGCGGTCTATCATGGCATGCATTCTCGCTCAGAATAATACTATTTCGCATAGACAAAACTCGTAGAGCTGACCATTGATAGAGTGCCTTCAAATCGTATCAAAACTTACAAACAAATATTAACACACACCTCAACGTGACTGACTATTTCTATTTTGATCGGCAATCAAAGACCTAAAAGCTACGCAAAGTTCAGACTTGTAGGCTTAGTCATTGTAGGATTATAGGCATTTCACTGGAAATGCCTGTCTTCATTTTTTGGGAAGTCGTGTTAAAAAAAAATAACTATTTTTACTTTTTGTTCTTTCTTATGTTTCGAATTTTTGGGTATCTCTTTTACGATAGATAATTGAGAATCCTTCCAAAAACAAAAAAAAATCAGCAAGATTTACTGGACGAAATTCTTAAGAAAAAGAGATTTTTTACCGATACCTAATAAACTGAGTAACATGAATATTGCTTGATATACAATCCCTATTAACCTTCCTATACTAACTAGTTCTAACATAAGCGAATGAAAATTTCATCGTTTAGTCTTTTGTTTTTACTCTAGTCATTGCACAAAATGATCGCATAAAAAAAGAAATTGCCGATGCTGATGACGGTATATCATTACTTGCAAAATGTGTATTTGATCAAAGCCTGGACTTTGAAACCATTCGATGTCCGGTCCTACGGATTATCGAAGCCATATCATTTGGTAACGAGAATGCTTGTAAAAAGATTAATAACAATGAAAAATTGATGCAACATGTCAAGCATTTATCTCTAACGAATGATCCAACGTTAGGACCAACAGCGAATCGTATCCAATGGAAAGTGGAAGATGAGAAAAACTTCATTTTACAGCAAACAAAGGAAAAAGTAACACAAGAACAGGGAGAAACATTAGTGAAAGCCTTTGACGAAAAACAACCAACTTATCAACAAAGTAGTGTTAGCTATCATTGGGATTTGCCGGATAGTAGAACATCGGATACGTTCGATTTGATGATCAGTTATCATTATAGTGATAAAGAAATTTGTGGTCAAATTTATAATCGTTTAACGGCATCGAGCTTCTATCGAATTTTTTTCGATAAAGAATATGGTCATGAAATGTTACCCAATGCGATGGCTGAAGCAATGGAAAAGTCATGTATAATTCTAATATGTTTTTCAAGTAAATATCGAGAATCATATGGATGTCGAATGGCCGCTGAATATGCCGAAAAACGGCATCGAACAATTATTCTAGTGAAATTAGACGAAACATATTGTCCCACTGGATGGTTAAATGATATAGTAGCGAATAAACCTTGTATTGAGTTCAAAGAATCCAGCTTCAGTAACTCTTATGCGCACTTGATTCAGCAAATCGATCACGTCAAAATGAAAGCCAACGTAAGATAGACGAGACACTACCGGAAGACTCTTTGATAAAGGAGCTTGCTTTTGTTTGATCTTAATCAATAAATATCACTGTCATTATGCAAACAGAAAAATTTACAGCAAAGACTGAATAAATTCGAATCGGTCATTTATTTGAATGAAATTGTTCTGGACATGTTCCATTTCTTAGTCCTAGAAAATGTATGGATTACCATGATTGCACTATATATTGATAATAGTTGCTAAGTAAGAGTCCGCTTGAATAAAAAAAGAAGCAAATTCACAGTTCTCGTCCAGAGCAATCAAAATTGATAGGTGATGTCTGAAGCAAAAAGCGCACTTTTTCGACCAAGTGCAGCTTCTCAAGGTGATGTTTTGATAGAACGGTCAGTTTTGGCAAAGTATGTATGTCATTTCTTATAGAGCTCAAGTAATGAATAGGGTAAGAGCGAGGCAAATATTTCATGTTAATTACGTAAAATGAATCACTCAAATGAAGTCAAATTGTTCTGATAATGCTTGGCTCGATCGGAATAACCATGTGCTGATATATTACCGTCGCCATGTTATATCGAGCCAATGTCTTCATATAACTTCCGAGACATAAACAACTCATCATCAATACAATTGATAAAGATGATAATCGAAGTTCTCACATAAAGGAAAATTTTCATAGCATATTTTCATTCAACGGATATGTATCATCTCGAAAAACGTCGCAATTAGGCAAGCTCACATTCGATTGATGATTTTGCTTATATGAGAATTTCGGTTCAATGTAAAAAAAAGTCAAAGTAAAATAATGTTGAAACAAACATGGAAAGCATGAATGTTAATACACTGAATCAGAGAGGTAAAACATTTAATTGTATTCAGCAAGCAGAAACATAGATATGTTGATGATGAGAATTAGCTATTTAAGAAAAGTTATAATTTGCTCAAATTCGAAAGCACCGTATTGATATAAACTTTATTTTTTCTCTTCACGACTTTGAATGATAAACCATTCACTAACTCTTCAAAATCTATTTCTTTCTTCTTGTATCACTGGGTGTGAGTGTCAGTTGTGAGAGTGTGAGTGCCATTATGGATGAGGGGAAGATCCATATCTTCACACACACACAGGGACTTCTGAACCCTATTGAATACAAACTTATGACTGAATATACATTTTGAATAATCGATTTCACGTAAGGCAAAAGGTTGCATTTATTCTGTAGTACTAGTTCGTATTGTCGAGATTTTGAAAATTGAAAAGCACGCTAAATAAAATCAATGAATACATGATAATTCATAATCACATTTTTGAATTTGCAATGCAATTATCGAGGAGAAAAAAAACAACATATATGTTGTCCTTGAGTTATCGAGATACATTATAGAGTAATCAATGGTAGATTACATTTTATGCAATTATTATTTATTTTTTCATTGTAAAAGAAACTCTGCATATGAAATAAATTTCAATAATCAAAAATTGATTATAATAAATATTATTTATAATAATATTGATGGCACCTGTCGAATGAGTAGTGAATGGAATATAGTCGACTGATCATTGAGTTAAAAAATGGTGATGTATTTCTTCATTTGATTGTAGTACAATGTACTACATATATGAATGATGACACATCATTGTTACACATCAAAATACTGAAACAAAAACGAATTTGTAAATCATAAATATGAGGTCCACATTTCTAAATTATTGAATATTAGATTTTCTAATCTCGAGGATTATTTTCATTGCAAAATGAATTTCAAAAGTATGGAGAAATATTAATATCTTTTTTCATTTTTACTATGACTTGTTCTTGTCAGTTAACTAGAAATTGCATTAAAACCATTTCCGTTTATTTTTTATGTACAAAACTTGATTTCCATTAGTGATTAAGAATAAGTTTTTGAAAGACTCAGACATCGATGACAGACTAACATTTCAAAATTTGCTGTTGTTTTTAAATATCTTCAAGAGGACAGTGAGTTTAGTGTCTTCTAAAATTTTCCGCTCGATCCGGTTATTTATTCCTATACAAATCATCCAAATATTAATAGAATTTTTAACATGAGTTCTTCTGTTCGTTTTCTTCAGAAAAAATGACTTTGTATTTAATTTTTCAGACTTTCTACTTCTCGTTTGTCTTGCTATCCCTATTGAAATATTGTGTTTTGATTGTATTAACCAATCGAGAATGTACGATCTATGGAAAATACACCAGTATCTTCAAATATATCTTATGAATTATAGAAAAAATATGACTTTTAATTGAAAGTGCTTCATATTTTTCAAGAGACAGAAAGAGGAGAATTATGAGATATCCTACGTGGTAGAGCTTGATGAGTTACATTACTGATAGAAATATCACAGATGTTGGTTATTGAAGCATAAAATATAGGATTAACGAAAGCTTATGAATTTTTGTATGCACAAGGATAATATTTCAACAGTTATAGCAAGAAAAACGAGAATTTGAATGTTTCAAAAATTAAAAACCAAGAGTCACTGTTACTGAAGATGGCCGGTAGAAAATCAATGAAAAAAATATTAAAGCGGCATATTAAAAAGATCAACGAATTCTGGAATGTCACTCTGTCGTCAATGTCTGAGTCTCTTAGAAACTTATTCTGAAAGTATACTTTCAGGGAATTGAGAGAAAATCGGCTAGATAGTGAATGATTTGATGAAAAATATTTATCTTAGTCAATGTAAATTGTGTCTATTATTAACCATGAGCCCAGTTTAGTGTATAGAGAATCAGAAAAGCAAAAAAAAATTAAAAAAAAGAAATTCGAGCGTTAGCAATTTTGTTTTAAAGTTCTTTTTACGATGTGTCTTGCGTCACTTTTCTTCTAAATATATCGTAAGAATACGGAAAGCTCTACTAATTAGGCTATTATCAATCAAACCGTCAAGTATATGTCAGGTTACTTTTTTGACTAACAATAAAACTGAATCGGATATTGGCTAATGATTTTCATTAGTAATAGAACGCAATCGAAACTAAAAAGGTACACGAAAGTTCTTGTGTCTGATATAACTGATAGATACTTGATCAATAAATTTTTTCAGAATTTCTGTCCAGTGAACCTTTTTTTGATTAGATTTTGAATCTGGGGAAGAGTATTGGATAGATAAAATGAGCCAGCGAATTCAACCTTGTATAGGTCGAAAAAAGACGATTTCATTTATCCAATACTTCCATCTGAACTCAAATCCAACCAAAAACGCTCATTGGATAGGAACTCGGAAAACAAATTGACTGATCGAATGCCAATCGTTTATGCTAGAGTTCTGATGTTGGTAAAAAATCAACCAGATATATTCTACTACAGCACGTATAGTTATACTCGTTCTTACCGTTATTTCAAAATCCGGCTCTCTTTGAGCCCAGAACTTGGAGTTCCAAAAGCCTTCTAGCATCTCAGAAGATGAATAATCATGATGCGGCGTATATTCGTAGAATTTAAGTTGTAGATATTTTAGGTAAGGTAAATAATCTTCTATTAGTAGCTGCCATCCTGCTGGATTGGTCATTGCTTTGTTCTTTGTCGTAATCCAGAATTCCAGAACTAATTTCGTCAAGTTAGGACAAATTAAAAAGAGCTGGTAGAGTTGTTCGAATGAATGCCAACCACGAATATTCAAATTTAGATTCTTGATATTAGTATGAATGAAATTGGACACGCAACAATCATCGTGTAAGTAGGTTAGACATGATTTTAAATAGCAAAGATTGGGCGTATATCGCAAGAAAGCTAACATTTGATTAACTGATATGTTCTTAAACGAAGTATATTTCAGCGATGGAAAATAACATAACAACGATGTTTCAGTATCCGGACAAAGTTTACGAAGCGGCACATTCAAATAGCGAAGTTGATTCTGACAACTCATGGAAATCAAAGACCAGATTTGATTATCCATATATGTATAATCTGGATCGTTTTGGAATTCCCAATTATTTATCTTAATATATTCCAGCTGTTGCAATGGCAAAGTCTCGAAAAGCTCCTTCAATGTTCCAGAACTAACATAATGGAATTCAATAGCTTTTATCGCTCCGAAGTTTAAGCATGAATATACTAGTTGAATTAGTTCTGGCTTGAAGCTAGACAATTCGAGTGATCGGCACAGAAATGAACCGCCAATTATTTGATCAATATCGCGCTCATCAGATAAAATGATAGATGCAGGATATATTTGAATCCAAATGTCGATACGTCGTTGTAGGCCATAAAATGCGTAATGTATTTCATCAAATGATAAATAATCAAATATTTCAAAGATTACGTCCTTGTTTAAATGGTCAAAACATGTCATTGTAGTGGACGCTAACGATAAGTCTAGTTTCTTCGGATAAATGAAATAATTTTTTTCTTAGAGATAAGAAAGGAAATTCATAAGAGTAGGTAGAAAAAAGTTCATGTTGACTAATTCAGTAGCAATGAAAAAATAGTCATAATGATGTTATTACCTGTTTGTGATGCATAAAATTTTGCTATTTACCTATACGAGGAATCGAAAAGACAGACACTTACAACAACGCAATAATAATGTGCTTACCACACTGCATTGAAATTATTATGAGTCATTATATGAATTTTTTCTTTTTTCTCTTCGATAATATTTGTTCTCAAGTTGTGACCAAGGTGAGTCAATGAATCTGAATCTTTATGCTGATGAATGTTTCTTTTTTTTCTCTCCTTTCTTGCTTTCTGTTGCTTCAAGATAGTTGCAGCAGCCTATTCTCAAAAACATGTAAAAGAAAGTTTATGTTTACAAGCCAAAAAAGTATCCAGCTGTATGTGAAGCGAAGACTTAGGAAGACTGGTTGCTTTAATCTTTGGAACCTGTATAAACTTTTGCAAAATGTTTTTGAATTCTTTCCCTCTCATCAATCGAATGACTGGAGCTCATATTAATACTAAGGGACTTAACTAGTTTTCGTTTCTATTTTAATGCAGGGTATTCGGAAACTCATATAGCAAAAAGAAAATTGTATATTTTCATTATGGTTCCA